GGGGGGGCTCCTTGTGAGCAAAACGCTTCAAATCCAACACATAATGTCACTCATGTAAACAGAATTCGGGCATGGCTGCAGATTGAATCATTTCGCTCGTATTCCTTTTTATTCTGCTCATTTCTGGTTGGAATTATTCGACGCGGCGGGATAATGGGGGGGGGGGGTCGTCCTCGTGTCGGGTTCCAGATAATGATGCTGGACGTGAGATGTCTTTTCATCTGGACTGAGCCGAGCTAAAAACCCGGGATTTAACCACAAAATAGCCTCTGGGTATAACCTCGCGTTGTATACCGTTGCTCTTACTTTCATGCACACGTGACCAAATGGTTAGAGTTCCTAAGGTGTGTATCAGAGAAAATGTGGCTTAGAGTTTGTACATGTGTGTGTGTGTGTGTGTGAGCATGTATTTCCAACCATATGGGGGTCATTTTTAGATAGACACCTACATGTGGGGACTAACTGGTACATATGGGGACCTAAGCCTGGTCCCCATTTAGGGAAATACCATTGGTGGGATGGGGGTTCGGTTTACGACCAAGGTGTGAATTTAGGTTAGGTTTGGTTTAGGTACCTGTGAGGTTAGTTTTAAGGTAAAAGCCATGGTCAGGGTTAGGTTGTAAAAATTAATAGAAGTCAATAGAATGTCCCCATATAGATAGCTGGACACAGCTGTGTGTGTGTACATGTTTTTGGTGGTGGGGATGATTTTTTTAAACAATTTTCCTGGTACACAGCCTGGTGAGGATCCACTGTTCTTTATAGGGGCAAAAGCCCGGTTCCCATTGGGGGAAATACTGCTGGTGGGTCAGGAGTTTGATTTAGGACTAATGTGTGAATTGAGTTTTGGTTAGGTTTAGGTTCAGGTATGGACTGGGGTGGTTAGGTTTTGGGTAAGGGGTCAGGGTTAGGCCACCAGTAAATTAATGGAAATAAATGCAAAGTCCCCATGATGATTCAAGAACAAACATGTGTGTGTACGCACACATATTTGCTACATCATGGAAAACCTTTTCCAAACACAGCCTTGTGGGGACCCAATGCTCCTTACGGGAACCAAAGCCTGGTCCTCACAGGTACGGATGTCAATTTTGGGTGGGGGATTAGATTTAGGACCAAAGTGTGAATTGAGTTTAAGCTAGGTTTAGGGTTAGGTATTTACTGGGCTGGTTAGGTTTAGAGTAAAGAGTCAGGGTTAGGCTACAGAAATGACTAGAAAATGAATGGAAGTCAATGCAAAGTCCCCACAAGAATAATAAAAAAAACAATGTGTGTGTGAAGCATGTTTTAGTTTCAAAAAACACCATAACAACAAAGTTCTTCTTTTTAATATAGCAAAAATATGTAAAATCAATAGGCTTGTCACAAGTTCAGCACATAATTATGTCATCAAAATGCTCACTCTGTATTTACATTCACAACCTGTAATTAGAAACCTCGAACAGATAAAAAAAGGCACTCTCCTTGCAGTTCTCTTGGTGTGTGGAACAGCACAGCATAGCAGCAATAGCAATAAGGCTGTTTAAGGCCCTGTGTTCACGTGAACAATCTCTGGTAACATTGATGTTTTTTCGATGCAGATCATGGCGAATAAACATTAAAATAAAATCACAAACACTCACTCAAAAAGGATTGCCTTTAGACCCAAATCGTTGTGTGCTGGGTGCACTTTCTTGGAGGGGCAGGGGAGGTTGTAAGATGAGATGTGTTGTAATCGGCGAACACGTGTGCAGAAAAAGCTGTGAATTTCGTATATCTGAAAACGCCGATACCAGGTCAGCTGGTGCTTCAGTTTTGAGCATGAAAACAGTTACATCCATAATGGCGAACACAAAATTGCTTGGGCTGACAATGACATGTTGAAAAATGAGTGAACAGCACATTGCTTATCTGCTTGTGCAAGTGCAGAAAAACTATTGACTGCAGCCGCCTTAGGTCCTACGGGAGGCAGGTTTCCCAACAATCTCCACTCTAGGCCTTTTTGCACTGCAAGGCCCGACCCTGTGCCTTTCTCAAACCCAGATAAGTTCCACTCGATTTCTGGAACCCTAAGACCTGTGGTTCTGCTCAGCCCGATTTGACACAGTGATTGGTACACTAACCGGGGGGTTTTCATCACACAGCTGAGAGTAACTTTATGTGAATTGTTTGCAGCAACTGTAACAGTAGCGAGCTACCAAACAGTAAGCTAACATTAGCTACCTTTAGCTTACCATCCTCTGTCATCCTGGCCTCTCATCTTAAACGTCATACTGCTGGATGGTCTGTTACAATCTCCGGTACTTTTCCTTCAGGCTTGATGTACTTCATTATTATTTTGTCGCAAATTAAAATGGAATAAGATTTGCACATGTTTAATATTATGAGCATTCAGCGCTCAATGCAAACACAACCATGGACAGAGTAAAACAAGGCCAGGCCAACTGGAGCCGGGCGGGCCAAGCCGAGCCTTACAATGGAAGATCTCTGGATTCTAAAACCTTCACTTACAGAGAAAACGAGCCTGGTGGTCGTGTCCATGTACGTCTGAACCGCAACACAAAAACTACGAGTTCCCTTAAAACCAATGCTGTGTAAACCGGGCCTAAGTTTATGTTACTCATGCAGATGAGTGGTATTTGGCTTGAAAAATGAAGTCTCCTGTTTTTCAGCAGAGTGCTGCTAAATGTAAAATGTTCAGAAGATAAGAGGTAGAAAGGCGTCAGTGTCCCTGCTGGGTCATCCTCAGGATCTGAAGTAGCAGATGTTGCACTTCTTCGTCCATGTGACCCTGTTGAACACAAACACCAGAGAATATGGTTGATGAAAATTGCTGCAACTTTGTTTCTACAGTCTGCAATACGTCAGAGAAATACTGTCCAGATTTCCTTTTATGTCCATTTCACAGCTTTTTTCGGCAGTTATTAGTAAAAAAAAAAAAAGGTTATAAAACATGAAAGAGGCCTTTTCCAACTACAAGCTGTACTGGCCAAGTTTTCTGTACTTTTCTTGGACTGTGTTTGCATCACAAACTAACTGGATTTCTCAATTAATTGAAACACTTATTGTTAGATATTCCAACAGAGGTTTGAGCTATTACTTTAAGACAGCTTACTTATGTTTCAAATAGGTCCATAGAATATCAAGAACCATAAAAGAGCTTTTAGCTGCCCAATGATTTCTGCGATATGGAAAACATGGACAGAATTGTGGAATTTAACGAACAAAATGGAATCCAGTACAAAACGCGGAATCTCCCAGAATTTGCTCGTTTGGGCGAGTGAGTAACATTTCAGAGGTATTTTGTCTGCTGCCACCCCCTGTACCTACAGTTACCAGGTTACGTGGGGTGGGCTCGCCTCTACACAAAGAACAAAAATTAGAGCAGCCATGGAGAAGATGCTTGCTCACTCACCAACAGCCTCCAAAAAACATAAAGATACTAAGCTTAGCGTACAGTTTATGACAGAGCAACACCCCAGAGATTTTTATGAATTTGGAGAACTTTTCTGTGAGTTTTGTCAGCACACGGTAGGCTGGATGTGTAAGAATATATGTTTACTGTTCTTTCAAAAAAAAATAACAACACTATTTTGAATACCTCTATGGTAGTTTGAAGAAGTAAAAAAAGGGTCCAATTCAATAGGCAAGAGTGCACAAATTGTTATCGTTTGTAGGTTTATGTTCCTTTATGAGATTTTTTTATGTTTTTAAACTTTAACGCATTTTTATTTTACAAAAGGTTCACTTTTTAATGTGAGATATGTGATATGTTTTGCACATAAAGAATGTTTTTGTTCTTTAAAAAAGACTTTTAAAAACTTGCAAAAGCATTTAAAATTCTGCTGAACCACAGCAATTTGTTATATTAGTGTAAGCAAAATAATAATCATTATATTTTGAATTCTGTGACTATTCATTTGTTAAATTATTTATCAGTCACTTCATAGTTACACAATTTTCAGGCTAATAATGAATGGTTAAAATGAAAATGTGGAATTCAGAAAAAAACTGAATTAGTAAGTGGAATTTGAGAAAAGGTGGAAAACAGATCTCATAGGGCCCCACAATTTATTCGCTTTCTTTTTTTTCTGTTGTCTGCTTGATAAATCCGGATAAACTAGAAATTCAGCATTCCTAATTATTTGTAGTAGAAACTTATTTTGTACATTAAAAAATTCTTATAACAAGCTCATAAATAAAATAAAACATTACTAAAGGAGGATGGTCAAGCTCTACACTCAGATCATTATGTGGTCCAGGAGAGAGCCAATCATACGTTACATGTTCCATATTTCATGTATCGTGTTTGTAGCATATGAACACTTTACAATATGACTTTTTTAATCTGTGTGACCTCGATTCACCTGTACAGCTGACAGTAAATGAGAGCGATACACAGCCACCACTTGTCTGTGCTTTTTCTCCCAGTCCTGAAAAAAAAAGAAAAGTATAAGAAAATGATTGATACACAGTACTGTGATGCAAAACTATCATTCTGGATTTTTATATTTGTTGTTTTATTCAAACTGCATTTCTACTCACCTGCAGCTGCTGGGTGAGAATAGATATCCTGTTCTGTAGTGCCATCTGCTGTCCAGGATTAACATGCTGGGCAGAAGAGGAGGAAGACGTGATTCCAAGAGGAGGTGACAGAGCTCCCAAGGCCTCCTTTAGGCGAAACACTTCCTTGGACAGCTCTGTTATCTGCACAAACAACCAACACGTTGGTTTGTTCCCACAAAGCCTCTGCAGTCATTTGTAAAACCAGTTCTGCAGCTCGTCACCTTGCGGTCCTTCTCCTTGACGAGGCCCTGGGAGTCCTGGATGTCTTTGTGGAGCTCCTGGATGTGGCTGGACTGGGTCTGGAGTTGAGTGAGCTGCTGCTGCACTGAGGCCAGCTGGGACTCTGCTGCCTGCCGCTCGCTCTTGTGGAACAGCGCCTCCCTCTGGACCTGGAATACCTATAGCCGTGGAAAGAAAGTCGTGCGTATTTTTTTGGCCAATGCATTGATGCTACGTTTGCCTTTGTGATAAGGAAGGATTCTGCACTTTCTGTTCACCCTCATTTTAAAGCATTTAAATACATTTTACAATATCAACACTTTCCCAAAAGTCTTTTTTTAAGTTTGTCAGGAATCTTCAAACATGTCATATGGTACATTTTGGTCAAGTTTTCTGTTTCCTCAAAAATGTTAAAATAAATGTGTTTAGACCATTATTTTGAAGGGGTCACCTCGAGTGAAGAAACAAGATTTACTGCCTCGAAGCAGGCCTCGGACAGGCCTGACGAGAGGGCAGGAACTCTGTCACAAACTGAACTCTATTTAGGCCATGACAGGTCAATCCAACCGTGGAAGAGAACTCCTCAGTTCTCTTAATCAGATAATGGACAGAACAATCTCTTCTGTTCGTGATTCATTTGTTGTTTAACTAAGAATGTTTATGCATTTGTTAAATCATGATAATGACTGTCACAGGAAAAGTGGAACCACTTCTTTTCTTTTATCGTGCCTTAAAGATTTATAATGGTATAAAAAATCACAGAGAATCTGATTACGTTTTCATTTGAGTTTTTATGTAAATCACTGTTTTTATTTTACTGTGAACACAGTAATATAATTGTGGATTTTTCCTGAAAAAATCTTTCATTTATCTGGACTAACAGAAGGTTCAGAACTGACCATAAAACAGAAATGTTAATTAATCATCATAAATGTTTTGCAGTGATTTCTCTTAGTCTATCAGAAGAAAGCTGAAAAGAGTTTATCATATCATGTTGTTGAATAACCACAGAATTTTAACCTTGGGCTGGCGCCGGCTGGCAAATCTTTATCTTTCTTTCTCTGACTAATCTCTAAGCCTGAGGGCGGAACCAAAGTTCGTCCGTTTCTTTTACTAACCCGGACAACTTTGAACGACACACTCTTCTTCCTGATTCCAACCTAGGAAGACAGCTGAGTTCTCTCCGGAGAAACCTCAGTTTTGGCTTAAAGTCGGATCCCATGAGCTAATTAGGGAAGACTTCCCAGCCAGGGACCCGGCACGCCTGCCGGTGGTCTCAACCCGAGGCTGAGCCTCTAAGTGTGTTTTTAAGTCCTGAGGGGAGATTTTATTTTGGAAGGCGGAACCGGATACGGCTTRAATTTTTCTGGCKTGGACTGAAACAGACAAAAGTTAACTGGAAAACACCTGTTCGCTAATGACCGGTAAGCGAGCCGACATCAGTTCCCTGACTGATCGGAGATGAGCCAGCTCCTACCCCGAGGGTGCCTTAAGAAGACATCATCAGGTAAAAGCTGATGTGTTCGGAGTGACGTGTCATGTGGAACCTGAGCTTAGAAAAGACGTGCAGTTCCGGTTGACCCACACTTTGATAAAAGTAAAAGTCGTAGTAACATACTAATCTTACTTTCCTCCTTTCCTTGTTATTAATTTGCCAAAACTTAAGCTAAAAGTGCCAGTAAAATTGTTTGGTTGTTAACATCAGAACTGACGTTTTACTGTTCTATATAAGTAATCTGAGTTTATGTGAATTGAAATTTGGACGTGAGTTTTATCTCATTTAACTCTGACGCTTGTTATAGGAATAACCACAATCAAGTGTAACTTATGATCTGTTCAATTTGTGTAAACAAATGATTGCATAGTCTTTTATGAATCAACTTGAACTCGTCTGAACGTTCACTTATTGTGTCACTTTTCACTTCGCACAGTCAAGATATTAACAAGTAATGAGAAATACCTTGGTAAAAGTTTCCTCATAACCTTGTGTATGAGAGATGTGGGAAAAGCTTAATTGACCTTAAGCTCACTCTTACAATTTTATAAAGGTTATATGCATATGTATATTAAAAAAATAAAACAGTTTATAAAAGAAGTGCACAAATTCAAATATAGCTAAAAACAATCCAACAAAACATAAAAAACACACAAAATTAAAACAGACCTAATGTACAACTGAGAGTGGAGGAGCACATCCATTTAAGACCCTAAAAACAAGACTATAATTACTGAGCCTCTGATATGTTTTAAAGTCCAAGATCTTGTACTTCTTGGTGTTTGAACATGATAAGGTCATCTGTCTAAAACTGTCTTTTTGAAGAGTGATTTGATGGGTTTGAACACATTTGCTGATATGAGAAATAAATCATTGCATGCATAAGTTTTAGCTGCCTGTGAAGTGAGAAATGGTCTAATGTGGGGATGTGACATTTCACTCAAGCCCCGATTCGATTATCTATTTTAAGTTCACAATTCTTTTCGACTTTTTTCCAGCAAAATGTATTGGAGCCGTTTCATAACCTAATGTTTCTTTTCTTTTAATCTCAGCATTTTTGTCCTTAGATCAAACCGTATTTGTTGTCTTGGTATTAGAACATAACATCAAGAAATAAAAAATGTCATCGCAAATCCTTTTGTGACCAAAAGTTATCAAGTATCAAACTGAACTTGTCTTCAAGACATAAATTACTGTTATACAATAAGGAAATTGATTCATTCATTTTAATCAATTGATTCACAATTTAAGCTGTTATTATTGGATTATTAATTAATTCTTGATTAATTGTTACATCCTCAGCCAAACATGGTGAAAATTGGCCAATTTGAATTTTATTACATTAGTAGTCTTCATAATATGTTGCCTAAAAGTAAGATTTAAAACATAAAGGTTGTACCGTTGTATTTGAACTAAAAAATACAAGAAGAGCTCAACACTAAACTACAACACTACTTGAGTGCATCAGCAAGTACAATTAGAGGCATCACTGTGAGCGACATAATGAAAAGGGAAAGTGACAGATAAATAATGCAAAGACAGGAGAGAGGCCCTCATAGAACTCAGCTCACTTTGTCACAGAAACAATAACATGCAGTTTGGCTTCAAATTGCATTGGAGAAGACACACACACACACACACACACACACACACACACACACACACACACACACACACACACACACACACACACACACACACACACACACACCTCGGTGCATGTCTTCTCGTGTTTCCGAGTGAGGTCGTTGAAGCGCGCTGCGCTGGCGTTGATCTCTGCCTGCAAAGAGAGCCGCATGGCCTCGTGCTCCTCCTTCGAGATCAGCCCTTGTTCTGCAGCCTTCTGGGACTTCAGCTCCCTCAGCTCCATCTCTTTCTCACTCAGAGCATCGTGAGCCGCCGCCGCCTTGCTTTCACATGCCTGCAGGGTGCGCTGTAGCTCTTCCTGTCATTTAAAAAGCACAGGTTGAAACAGTCTGGTGACAAACGGCTTTTATGGGATTGGAAACATTGAATGCACTGCCACTTGTCTATTTAACAACTTTTTTTAAAGAGACAATGCCTTTTCTGTTTTTCCTGATTCCTTCTTAATTTTATCCTATTATTTACTCACTTTGATCTTTTCGTGCTCCTCTTTGGAAATAAAGTCCTGTGTGGTCTGTACTTTAGCTTCTAGACTGGCAGCCTTCTCCTCAGCTTGTGCCCGTAAGGTTTTCTCCTCTTGGAGCTCCTGCAGTGTCTGAGCTAACTGCTCTGATACCGCAGAGAGCGCTTCTTTATGTTTTGATAGAGGCACGGCGTCTTTCAGCTGCAGGACCTCCTGCACCCGGCCCTCCCGCTCAGCATAAAGACAGTCCAGAGCCTGGGCTGCCTCCTGCCTGGCCACCTCCAGCTCCTCTCGCACTTTTGCCAGGGCTCGACTGGAGTGTTCTGATCCAACACACAAACATTTCATTAAATACCAAAAACATGCATTGTGCTGAGTGCTGAAATATGCTGAAGAAACTGAAACAGAGTCGTTAAAGCTAAAAGAAGGCTAGCTAGTAGCTAGCTAGTAGCTAAAAATTAAAAGTAGGAATAAAATTGCTAAAAGCTGAAAATAAAATGCTAACTAAAAGCAAAAAATGGCTAGCTTAAAATTAAAAGTTGAAAAAATAGCTAAAAGTAAAAAATAAAATGCAAACTAAAAGCAGAAAAAGGTTAAAATTAAGAGTTGAAAAAAAAGCTAAAAGTAAAAAAATAAAATGCTACCCAAAAGCAGCAAAAGGATAGACTAAAATTAAAAGTTGAAAAAAAATTGATAAAAGTAAAAAATTAAATGCTAACTAAAAGCATCAAAGGCTAGCTAAAAATTACTTGTTGGAAAATAGCTAAAAATATAATGCTAATTAAAAGCAGCAAAAGGCTAGTTCAAAGCTAAAAGTGGCAGAAAACAAAGCAAGTATGCTGCAGTAATTTTCAAAAATGAACATTTCTGAAGAAATTGTAGCAATTTCAATTAATTCTTATTTCGAAAAAATATTTCAAATATTAAGTTAAATATTTTGAAAAGTACAAAAAACTCAAAAAGCAAAAGTCATAGCACCTATTTCCTGAATGAACTAAACACTAATATACAGTATGAATGGCTAAAATAGCAGAAAGAATGCAATAGTTAAATTGCAAACAAGAGACCAAAATTAAAAAATTAAAAAACACAAACACAAGTGTAGTGTCAGAATTCACTCTATAAAAAGATAAGTCAAGGTGGACAAACAAATAAAAAACCAATGTGTTATCTGAAACAATAAAACAGTTGCACACCTGACATGAGAGAGGGCTCTGAGCTTTCTGAGTGATCTTCCTCCTCCTCTTCCTCCTCCTCTCCACTTGCAGGAGGTTTGAGCCTCTCCAGCTCCAGCAGGGCGTTGTTGAGTCTCCTCGCCACCTCTGCCCTTTCCCTAGCCAGCTGCTCACACTGAAGTCCGAGTGTCACCTGAACCTCCTCCAGCTCGGAGCGGGGCACGCACTTCCTGAGTTCGCCCTCCAGCTCGGCCAGACGCTCCTGAAGACGACGGACCTGATCTCCATTCCCAGCTGTTCCTCCTTCTTTCCCAGACGGCCTGCTCTCTGCCAGGGCTGCCTCCAGTTCTGCGACTTTGTCCCGAAGCAGCTTCACAGTCTCCGACTCTCCTCTTTTGTCTTTCTGTTCCTTTAGCGCCGACTCTTTCTGGGCCAGAGCAGCCTGGAGCTCCTTCACTGTTCCTGTCAGCTGTTGGATTGTGTCACTGTTCTGGCTGCTCTGATCGCCGGCCTCTCCCTGTGTCTTAGCAAGCTTCTCCTCTAACTCTGTCACCCTGGCTCTCAGCTGCTGCGCCTCCTGGCTCACTCCATCCTCTGCAGCTCCAGCAACTGTTGTGGCAACGTTGTCATCACCGCACTCCACAGAAAGCACCCCGAGACGCATCTGCTCCTTTAGCTCCCCCAGCTCTGCCTGGGAGGAGGCCAGCTGCTCCTCCAGTCCACGCAGCTTTTCTTCTAGAGCTTCTGTGCTCTCTGCTTCTGCGCCTCCTTCCTGAGACTTCTCGCTGTCACTACAAAACAAAACGAGCAGAGTAAATACACCTAATGTCCTTGAGGGATTTAATGTCCAGCTGACTGATTTATCAAAGGTTTGCCTGTGTGAAAGCTGACTTATTAATCATCTGGACCAAATGAGTAAAACAGCAGACACAAACTATTGAACGGGTTTGCCTTCATGAATACGCAGAATGTATGATGATTATATTGATAATATTATATATTGTATTTATTCATGTACAGTATAATACTAGAAATGTAACCCTACAAATCATCCATAAAGTAAGTGTGTGTGTGTG